TGCAACTGAAATAAACAAAACATTAGCCTCAGAAGCTAGAAGAAGGAACACACACTCCCTCGGAACAAAACTACCTGCTCTTTCAGGAAGCTCTCATAATTCGAGCTTTGACTCGCCTCATACCATAAACGCGCCAACTCATCTTCCCTTTCATCGCAAAAAAGGCTAAGGGATTTCTCCCCGTCAATGGCTTTTCGCAATCTGGCCTCACGGCGAAGTAGCTCACATTTGAGCTTATTAAAAGCTTGTGGAAAAGAAATATGGTAAGAAAGTAAATATTACAAAACTATAAAACCAGTACGAATGGCCTGAACCTACCTCTGAGCAAAGCTGTTGAGCTTCCTCAAGAGTTGAGTGTACATCTACTGGTCTGGCTCCATCTACTTCGATAGAATTTGTGCCAGTTTGGGACACGGTTGCACGATATACGTGCCCCTTGGCGTCGAACATCCCTCAAAGTGACTTCGACAGGAGAAGAAGCCAGCGGCAGAGAACCCTCGGGTGCTGCAGGTTCGGCTAAAATGCCCTCTCTAAGCCTCCGGGTCGAACTCATCTTGATACAATCACTATCGTCCTACAAAGGCCTCTCTTGCTTATTGTTGTTGTTGTCATCCCCCAGTCCTGAAGTCGGTGGTCTTTCTCCCTCTACTAAAGGGCACGACCTCGCTTTAAGTGACTCCACAATGCCTACGATGACAGAGTTAGTATGTAGAAAGAAAAATTTCCCTTCTGAGAGAAAGGGGGGAGCAAATCACATAGCACGTATCGTGGTGTTTTGCCTCCCACCTACCCTTAGATAAAGCTAGCCACTTACGCTCATTGCAACTCGAGTGGGTCGACAACTTCCGAACCCAATCCGGCAGATCGGGAACCTCGCCCGGCATCCACAAATCGCTGTAGAGAAGGAAAAGAAGGTACATTTACGGAGCCCGCCTTCACCATAAACAAAACTACGAAGGCATGAGTGTACCACTTATGTGTAAAATTCCATTCCTCAAGAAATGGCAGAAACTCCACTGGAATAATATCGATAGTCCGTACACGGACGAATCGGCTCATCCACCCCCGATCTCCATCTTTTTCATCATCAACAACGAAGGGCGTGGTGGATCGGCATCGTAGGGTTAGCAGACCTCGATGGTGAAAAGGTCGATACAGCCTGATGAGATGGCTAAGAGTGAATTCGAGCCCTACTTTCTCCGCAAAGAACCTCATCATCAATACTACTTTCCAAAATGACGGATGAATCTACGCCAAGGTAATCTAGTATTTTCGACAGAAGTTGAGCACAACCCTATCAAGGGGACCCAACGTAAAGGGGTATCCATACACGTTCAAAAACCCCTCGGCATGGTCCATGATGATCTCTTCTGGGGAAGGCACCCGCAGTACTACCTCTTCCCCCCATCCATAATCCTTCCTCGCCGACTCAAGAAGACCCCCCTCGAAACAAAATGCCCAGAGACGGAACCCCATTCTCCTTGTCGAGCGGACCTTGACGTAGCGGCTATGACTATGGTGAAACTAGAGAATTGGAGCGGGAATTTGAGCAAGAGCGTCAAAACTAAAATGGTGAAGAACCTAACGCAGGAAAGGAGAACTCTATAAAAGAGGATAACTACTCAGAATAGCGGAATCTCCAAAAGGGCGAAGACAACCCTATATATGGAAAAAACGGTGACCACCTGCCTGCCTCAAAGACTGATTAAAAATACTGCTAAAACGTATACCGCTTTGGAAAGATATGCCAGCGAAATCGCCTCGGTCATTTCGTAACCGTGCCATACACTTGACACCGCCATACGATGTTTCGGGGTTGGAGACCCCGCATCAACCAGGTCTCGAGATGGTACCCGATCTCGAGGACCTCCATCAAAAAGAAGATAGGCTCCACGAAGCCATTGGCATCATTGCAAGTCCCGAGATGGTACCCGATCTCGAGGAACTCCATCTAAAAGAATATAGGCTCCGGGAAGCCATTGGCATCATTGTAAGTCCCGAGATGGTACCCGATCTCGAGGACCTCCATAAAAAAGAAGATAGGCTCCAGGAAGCCATTGGCATGATTGTAAGTCCTGAGATGGTACCCAATCTCGAGGACCTCCATCAAAAAGAAGATAAGCTCCAGGAAGCCATTGGCATCATTGTAAATCTCGAGATGATACCCGATCTCGAAGACCTCCATAAAAAAAAAGATAGGCTCCAGGAAGCCATTGGCATCATTGCAAGTCCCGAGATGGTAGCCGATTTCGAGGACCTCTACCAAGAAGAACATATGCTCTAAGAGGCAACCAATATCACTACGAGATTCGAGATGGCACCCGATTTCGAGGGCCTCTTCCAAGAAGAAGATGAGCACTAAAACTCTACTCATATGGGCTTGGCCTCGAGGTACCATCTAAACTCGGGTAAGCCCTCATCCGGGATCTATCTGCAACACCCTAAGGCTATCTACACTGAGTTCAAAATAAGTCTCCAGGTAGCCCGAGCTTGAGCAAACCCCCACTCGGGGACTGCCCCCGAAATCCCAAAGGCTATCTTTATCCTCAGGCATCCGAGAAAATCCCCCCATGGAGGACTATCGCGGGGTCTAAAAGGCTAAGTCTCGTACTGAAAGTTTGAAGCCCTACTCGCATTCAATTCAAAGTCGGGGATCCCGACGACCCGAGTTTACCAAACCGATCCGGGCCTGGTCCAAGGGATGACAAATGGTTCTACGGGGAATTGTATTAATCAATCAAGGGCCAGAAGAAATACTTGCACCCAGGATCGATACTCGCACCAATCGGTGGAGTCGTGCATTCAGATTCTCCACAAGCACAAATAAAAAGAAATATAACATCAATCAGAGGCGCATTGAAGAAATATCTTTGTATTCATAAGCACACGGTTACAAAAGCCCACGAGGAGTCCTTACATATGATTACAAAAGCTCACGAGGGGTCTTTGCACAGATACAAAGAAGCAAAAAAAATACACATATAGTAAAAGCCAAGAGTCTAATCTATTCTGGGGGATGCATCCTCGACGATAGTATCTTCGAGCACCATCTCCTCGGGGGTCTCATCTCGGTCTTCCAAAATGGTATCTCCAAGGGAGAAGATGAAGAAGAGGAAAGTGAGAAGATGGAGAAGAGGAAAATGAAAAAGCAGAAAAAGATGAAGAAAAAGTCATAGACCGACCGCCAAAGAGCAAAAGCTTTTATCAGACCGAGAAAACCACGGCCCAATAAGAGACTTGGCGAGTGCCGGCCTTACCTGCACGACTACTTTGAGTCCACTTCTTGGAACATTGTGCCGTGCAAGTTAGCAGCCGGTAATGCCACTTCACCCCACGAAAAGCAAAAGGGATGAAGTGCCATACCATGCCGGAGTAGGGAGGTGAGCAGCGGCGTATAGTCCGAACACCCTCCTGAGCAGCAGTGTATAGTCCGAATATCTTCCCGAGTTAGAAGAAATCGCCCCTATCTTATCACCCCGAGCCACTAATGACAACAATAACAGTAACAACAACAAGAAGAAGAAGTCAGTGTAATCTCGCTTGGCAAGGGAAATCCTAGGAAAAAGGCCATAGCGTGGCTGACGAGAACGCCGCCATGCAACCTTAAGGCCGCGAGCCTCAAACATGAAGGATAACGATGGATGAGGATGAGGATGAGGAGAAGAAAAGGGTGGAAGGATATTGGAGGATACTTGAACGAAAAGTTGGTTCCAGGAGGCTCCCATTTATAGAGTGTGGTGGTGTAATCGACAACGCTATCAATATCTTTGATAGACGTATTGGCAGGCGCAATCAATGCATTTTTGGCAACTGAATCGGTGGCGATATTATCGCTCTAGAGAATGAGAATCGGCAGTACATTGAATGTCGCTGAAAAGACGAGTCAACATGATGCCTCGGTTATCGCAAAGGCTTGCGTCATACGTATGACATCATAGCGGGAAGTTCGAAGAGATGGGTATCAAAGTCGTTTCTTATCGTTCCACTCCAAGAAACGCGGGGACTATCTGTATACGGTAAAATCAGAGGGTCCAATTTTCCGTCATTACGATGCCTCGAAAGCACATCTCGAAAGCTCGAGACTACGGTCGAGTTTCATCTCTCGAGGACCATCGACGCTCGACCTCGGGGCAGTATAGGCCGACAGTTATGGAGATAAAATGGGTAGTTCCCAAGGCGCATAAATAGGGCTAACAAAGTCTAGTGGACTAGTCCTAAAAACGAATCAAGGCATTAACTAGCTGTACCATCTCCATCTTTGGAGTAAATGCATTTATACTATGTTGGGATTCCACTCCCCCGTGACTTTTTATTATGTTGTCACTTGGCCTAATATAGAGTATTTGCCTCTCTTTTTATTATCATAATATATTAGTATAGCACCTGCGCAAACCGTGGAGAATATAAATCATGTTGTATGATCTTNATATAACAAAAATTAATAATTATTAAGAATATTGTAGACTTCATATAAAAATAATAAAAAACTTATCTCTTTATACTTTTGATGAATTCAAAATTATAATTATTATTATATTATTTGAATTTTTAATAAACTACAAATCAGAAAACTATTCAAATATTACAGTAGAAAAGAATATACGAAACGAGGGAGATAAAGATAATTTTATGATATTTATATTTTGAATTAATTAAAAAATAAAATATAAATAAATAACACTAAAACATTATTGATAAATTTTGATCATTGAATAATTTTGAACAATATAACATAAGTTTAAAAAAAATAAAAAAAATTCAATATATATCTATGTTATATTAAAAGAGAAATAGTGTCAAAATATTAAGCCAATTGACAAGTTAATAAAAAGTCACATTAGTAAATATATAATACTAAGCACAACATTTGCTAATTTAATAAAGAATAAATAAGGAATAAACAATTAATTTGATCACTATCCTTAAATTTTGTTATATTTATATATATACACTATATATAAATAATAACTTAAAATAATATAATATATTAGATTAAATGATTTGAGAAGGGGCGTTCCCGTCAAAGGCAGTCTTTGATGGCGAAGAAGGAGATAATGAGAAAGGCAGAGGAGTTGGTAGAGAAAAGAATGAAAGGAAACGATGCTTCACATGATGCAGCCCATGCCTTCCGAGTTAGAGACCTTGCCCTTTCACTTGCTCGCGAAGAAGGCCTTTCTTCTTCTCCTCATTCCATGCTTATCGTAAGTTAGAGACCTTGCCCTTTCACAAATTAAACATATTCTTTGGAGGCGTAGGGGTTACTTTTTCACACTAATCATGATACAGGGTTCAAAGTATTACTACTGTTAATAATTTGTGAGTTGCTGGTGGATAATTTGTCCTTTGGGAGAATTGGGGTTTTCTTCTATCTTTTCTATCCTAGGACTCAATGATATGGATATGTAAAATAAGTTGCCAATTGTTAGTTACTAAGATTTGATTATGAGTTATTAAATGGTAAAAATTCTTAATGGGAAGTTTGTTATTATTCTTTTAGGCATTTACACAAGTTAAAACTGTTTTTGCTATTATCTCAGGTGGAACTGGCTGCTCTTCTACATGACATAGGTGATGACACTTTCACTCTTATTTGGAGATATTAGAGCTTTAGTTTAGAGCGACCGTGTTAACATATTGTTAGAATGCTTTTGCACATTATTTACATAGTGCTGTGGCTATCTTTTCTATTATCATAAATCAACACTGTAATATACGAGGGAATAACCTATTGGATTATGAGGATTCTGCTTTTGCTGCTTGGGGTGGTAGGACGAGGGAAGGGACGGGATCTATTTGATGACTGTCATTTTACAATACAATTGAAAGGAAATATTATAAGCAATTGTGATGAGTGAGCTGGCATCTCTCTGCTTATAATCAAGTTTTCTCATTATTCCTTTGATATATTATGTAACTAATCAGATTCTGATTGGCTTAATGAATGCAGGTGACTACAAATACATAAGGTTAGTTTCTATCAGATTTCAAGATATGAAGGATTTTTCTGTAGTCTACATTCTCATGGCTTGGTGTATGAATGTTTGCTTAAAGGCAAAATACCTTTAAGCAATCCGTGCCAAGTTTAGTTTTTTTTAGGTATTCCGCCTTTGCTTAAAAGGTGATAATTTTTCATTATCACCTTTTAAGCAAAGAACCTACTTCCATGTGATTACTTTCTGCCAACCGAATGTCCCCTTAAAAGGTGATAATTTTCCGTATGGACGTCAAAATGACGCCCATGCGCCTTCTTGAAGTGTCTTGGAAGGGTGATGTAAGACAAAGAACCGACTTCCAGGTGATTACTTTCTGCCAACTGAATGTCCGCTTAGTGCATTAGAGTAGTTTAGTGCAGTACTATGAGGCCAATGTCAAAGATCATAGAGTGCATAAGAGAATTGGATGAAAGCTTTCTTGTATTAATGAGAACAACGATTACAAGAAAGTCAATGTGGTGCTGCAGGAGGGGGGGCCCCGATACAGAGATTTGAATGCTTGCTGAAAATTTCGGCTACTAGACCCCCCTTACATGTCTTTAAAAAAATCACAAATTACATGAAATGACACAATAAGATGGAAAGACATTAATGCTGGTTTTATCATTTTTGGCATGCTCTTCCCGTCATTTGATTGATAGCTCTATATGGTCATGGATTTTTTTTTCTGTGTAGAATAATCTTCTTAAATTTTTTAGGGGTCCATCCTTGTATATTGTTTAATTACTGGTTTTTCTTGTCTTCTCCCAAGTATTCACTCTCAATAATTGACTTCCCATTTTATTCATCTCTGATGCTTTCTCTTGGCTTCTAGAGATCCATCTGAGGAAAGGATTGTTGAAGAATTTCTTCAGGGTCAAGGCATAGAGGAAGGAATGAAGATAAAGATATTGAATATAATAGAGGGGATGGGTAAGTTTGTGGATGCAGTTGATTGTCTAATGTAGTTATGTTATCTTTTTGGATGTTGATGTGATTTTTCTTGTTCTCTTCCGTCCTTCTTAAATTATTTTTGTTGACACACTCTTGTAACATAAAGTAAAAACTATCTGATAAAGTAGAAAATACACTCTCGGACTTCATACTGAATAATTTTATAACGTGTGTCACTTTGAAATTGAATTAGCAAAAAGTAAGGCAAACAGTATGACTCTCTTTCTGTTAAATCATACCTTTGAATATTCTATTGCTTCAACCTTTGAAATTTTCTTATTCATCTGTGCATGTCTGGCACGAACCTTAAACATATATCATGCCGACATGATCAGGCTATGCATGTCTAATTACCGACATGATCTGCTATTCATGTCTAATCTGGAATACAAATTAGCGACCATAATGTTATTGTATTGCCAGACCAAAAGATTTTCCAAGTGGTTTTGTGTTCATGACAATGTTTTCATTACTGTCTTTTCGTATGTGTGGTTAATGTAGTATAACTAATAGCCTGTTTGACCAAGCTTCAAAAATCAACTTATTTTGAGAAGTTTTTTTTTTTTGAAAAGTGCTTTTTTCAAAAGTATTTTTGGCGAGAAGCAGTTTGTTGTGTTTGGCTAATTAATTTGAAAAGCACTTTTGAGCAGCAATTAGTGTTTGGCCAAGCTTTTAAAAAGTGCTTTTAGGTGTATTTTTCTCGAAGGTGCTTTTCAAAAAAGTGCTTTTGGGGAGAAGCTACTTTTTTCCGCTTCTCCAAAACTGCTTCTGCTTCTACTCAAAAGCACTTTTCTTTCTTCCAAAAACTTGGCCTAACACTTCAACTTTGAAAAAAAAATGCTTTTGGCTTTAGAGAAGCTTGGCCAAACAGGCTATAAAACTTTACTTCCTTAATGTATATGTACTGTTTCCTTGGTTACAACAGACTTATTTCATGTAAAACTTTGTCTGTATTTTCACACGACCTTTCTCCGTTACCATGGAGTGATTGGTGATTGTGTTTCGCTCTCATTTTCTGCACTATAATTTGTCATCTTCGTTGGGCTTCATTTTCTCTGGAAGATTAATGCGCAAGATGATTGTTATCCTCTGATGATTTGAAAATATTGGTAAAATGAACTGTTGCCTTTGATATAGGTTTCAAGGAAGAAGTTGGAGGGCTTACAAATAGGAATTATTCAATAGAGTTTGGGGTGGTGCAAGATGCAGATCGACTGGATGCAATTGGTGCAATAGGTAATTGATTCAATTTAATTACCTCTTGGTGACCTGTTTATGTTATGTCTCCTCTCATTCTCTGTGGCAGGCAGATGCTGCTGAAGATTTGAATTTATGCTACTTGAATTTTTGCTGGTTACATACTGCTTGGTTGTTTTCCTACCTTAAAAAGATGTTGGTTTTTCAGAATTTGGATATCATACAATAATTATGGTTTCAGGAATCGCCCGTTGCTTTACTTTTGGTGGAAGCAGGCATAGAGTTCTCCATGACCCAAAAATTCAACCTCGATTGGATCTGTCTAAGGAAAATTACATGAAAAAAGTAGAGCAGACAACTGTGAATCATTTTCATGAGAAGCTTCTCAAATTGAAGGACTTGATGAAGACAAAGGTCAGTTAATCATGCGCTTCTGTATATTTTGCTTTATCCTTTCAGAACCTAATAAACTGGGCAAGAAAAATTTTCATATGAGTTTTTTCTTTTAATTTAGTATCTGAGCCGAGAGAAATCATCTCTTTATTACAGGCTGGGAAGAAAAGGGCTGAGAAAAGGCACAGCTTTATGGAGGATTTTCTGAAGGAATTCTATGAAGAGTGGGATGGGAGGGCTTAAATGAGGTAGCAGTTTTCCAGTTGATGTTTGGATGTTCCTAAACCGCCCTGTTTTATGTAATGGTGTTTAACTGTGCGTCTGCGCGCAGAGTTTAAAAAAGAAAGAAAGAAAGACCATGGTCTAAAAAAAGCCATAGATATTTGTGTGCCTATAAAGTCAGATGAGAAGTTTAAAGTTAACGTATTTCTAAATATAAAAAGATATGTGTCCATTCTTTTGGGACAAACTAAAAAGGAAATTGTGTACATAAAATAGGACTGTGGGAGTAGTTCTTTGTGGTGGTTGCGCACAGTGTTAGAAAAAGTGTCCGCTTCCTCGCTTTAAGCGAGAAGCGAAGCGGAGCGGAGCGATGGGTTGGTCGCTACCCCAACTAAAAGCTCAGGTACAGAAAAGCGACTGCTTCTCTCTAAAAAGCGAGAAGCAGTGAAGCGGTCGGGAGCGGAAGAAGCGATCACTTCTTGAATTAAAAGGCCGAAACGAGTCTTTTTCAATTAAAAGATCCAAATCGTCGAGTCTTCTATTTTAGACACTTCTTCAGCAGCAAACTAGGGTTCTAAACCAGCCTTTTCTTCCTAAAAAAACCAGCGATTTTTTCCTCACATGAAGCAACGATTTGTTCAAGCAAACTAGGGTTCTTATTCTTGAACATTACAACATCAGCTTTCTTCTTCTTCTTCGGGCGGTAGTCCGCACGGCCATCCAGATCTAGCTGCTTTAGTACCTTTAAAGGTTGGCGGTAGTCCGCACGACCAATAAGGATTCGAAATATACAGCAATTCTATTATAGTTTAATGACTGTATGGAAGGATNGGGTAGGCGGGCGGTAGTCCGCACGGCCATCCAGATCTAGCTGCTTTAGTACCTTTAAAGGTTGGCGGTAGTCCGCACGACCAATAAGGATTCGAAATATACAGCAATTCTATTATAGTTTAATGACTGTATGGAAGGATCTATATCCTTTTACCCAAGCAAGGGGCCTGTCCAGGTCCGATACATACTCTTATTGAGCCCATGTGTCTAGCAGTTCTAACTGTGAAAGGGATAGCCCTTTTGACAACTTCAGCGGGCTTTAATGAGGATCAGGGTAGGCGGGCGGTAGTCCGCACGGCCATCCAGATCTAGCTGCTTTAGTACCTTTAAAGGTT